GAGATATTAGTAATTACTAACACAGTTTGACATTTCATTTCAGCAGCTCTGCACAGAAGTTCAAACAGTGCAGAAAATGTGTTTAAACCTTTTTAAGCTCAGGTATGAATCTCATTAAAGACTGAATTCGTGGCTGCGTCGCTTCAAGACAAAAGTCAAATAAAAATAAGATCCCATCAACAACAGGACGAAAGGAAAAACAGGTCAGAGAGAAGATTTTCTTTTTCACACCAGAGCCAAGATGGAGATAAACTTTAATGTTATTTGGGGACCCAGACAGTCATTGCTGTCTCCTCACAGCAATAAACTCAAGTTCACAAAGATTGCACAATTAATAAAGCAAAAATCAAAGCATCACTTCAGCGAAGGTGCCGGAAACCCGCCGAGAGACTTAACTAGCATCAGGATAAAAGTCAATCCGTCCTCAGTATTTTTACACATTGCTCGTGTCAGGAGGAGGATTTCGTTTCATGGCTTTGAAACGGCTTCTGAAAATCCTGAAATGAGCCAGAGCCAAAGCCAAAAATGTGCTGCCAGCACCACCACTGAACCGTGGACGCTACATTTCAGGCGCTCACAGGCGGCTTTACGTAAACACAGAGGCCACGAAACCAGAATAAAATCACTTTTTACATATTTCAGCTGACTGTATCATGTTCTTCTCATTTCCAGCTGCATATTTTATTCTTAGAGCAGTTTTGCATCGTTGACTGCTCAAAGTGAAGCGCTCTCACACAAAATAACCTCCGTGGGAAACAAAACCTTGTGACACTTTTTTGAACATGATCAACTTTGTCAAACTGATGTCAGTTTGATTTTCTGAAGCATGGATATTAAAAGGTAACAGTCACGTGATTCCAGCCTCCTAACGTCTGTAACTTCCTGTAACTTCCTGTCTTTGACACGACAGCGCTGAGTGTCCCCAACAGCTTCTGTAGTCTAACTGTTCATAATGGTAAATGAATAGTTATTAATAACTAAGCTCGACTTTTTGAACCTGAATAATCAGATTTGACCAATCAGACCACGAGGTCGACTTTTCTTCACGCTGAGGATGAATTTTATCCAAAAACAACATGTTTGGTGTTATTTGTTACACAGGAAGTTCAAAAACGTCCCACTTTGTCAGAACGCACTCGGTGTGACCCGACGGCCGCTCTGACCGCGTCTACAGCACGCCACCAGTCGGGCCTACAGTGGTGCATGTCTGCATGTCTGAGTTTGAAGCTTGAAGTGAAGCGCTGTGAATACTGTACTGATGCGCTGAACACTGACTTCATTATTAGAACCTGACCGTGTTTTATGTGAACGCCGTTGTAACGGCAAATATTTGAGAGGAAATAAGAAAAAGCAGAAAAATAAATCTGGTCGGTCTGTGGCTGTACGAGCAGAGTGGCACCTTTACCTCCGGCTCATCAAAATGCAGAGAGAAAATAACAATGAGTCAGTGACACCGATGTTACCCAAGCTGCTAAAAAAAACAAAAACTCAACTCGACCAAATCTGGTGTGAGAGAAATAAACAACATCCCCCATATGGAAAAGATAAATCTTATAAAGTTTGTATCTGTCTTGTGTGAAACTTGTATGAAAAGCATACAGGAGTGAAAACAGATATAAGATCCCTTAAAAATTATATAAATGAAACTTGTATGTTTTGGATACTTACTAAAACAATGTATGAAAGTAATGAGAAAGTGGCCACTTTCATGAGTAATCACATATAAGTTTTTACTATTTCTTTTCCATATGGCCATTTTAAGCAGCAGGAAGTGACACAGAGGTCAGAGGGCGATGCTTCGTCCTCTTATTTGTTCAGTTACACTAGCTGTGCTGCGCACCTCTCTGTAGGTGTTTGCTCCGCCCACAAAGTTCCCGTTTTCATGTGTAGAAACACGTCCGTCGACTGTTCATTTTCTGCTGATGCTACTTCATCCTCACGCTGGAGAGAATTTCACTTGTTCCTTTATCCAGCAATGAAAACGAAACAAGCGCCGAGCAAACAGTTTGCACTTTGGTCAAACTAGTGACATGAAAGAAAACAATTTATAACACATAAGATTCTTTTTAGGAGTTTCTAACCTGCCCACAGTGGTTTAGACTCAAGCCCGTCTTTCATGATGAAGGCTGTCGTGTCCTTCAAAGGGTCCAGTTTGGCTTTACTGTGAAACTGTTCCAAACAAAATCTTTAATTCACGCTGATGTTCGTGTGGGATGAACTGTTGTAACAGAGTCATCATCTTTACTTACGTTACAGCACCTCTGTGTGGCTTCCCCTAACACAAAGTCGAACGTCAACAGCAACTTTGTTCTAGATAAGCAGATAGGGCTGCGCGATATGACCAAAACCTCATATCCCGATATCAGACATCTATCGTCCGATAACCATATAAATCACAAACATGTAACATTTTCTGTAAATTCTGTGAATCTCGGGCAGCTCGACTTGCTTGACGTGTTTCCAGCTGGGCGTCATGTAGCTGGAGTCGAGTGTTTTAACCGATGCATGAAACGACACATTTTTAGACATGAGTTGTAACGGCGCCGTTTTCTTTGTATTTATTACACGGCGTGCTGCGGGGAAGCTGTTCTAATGTTTGAGTCTAAGGTTTATTTTTTAGCACCTGGCGGCTCTTTTTTACTTCTCATCCGTAAATAATCTGCTCTTTCACATGATTCTGTTTATTTTGAAAAGTCTCAACAGGATCTTGAGCTTTATTGTGAAAGGTTTATGTGGAACATAAACAAGCGGACACGCGATGCTGTTACGTCGTTGTTGCTAACAACAACGCATAAAAACAGGCGCTTGTCCGTCTGTAGTGTGGTTATATTAAATATAAGAGGAAGAGAGAACTTTATTAATATAGCCACTACAGTGACATCAGAACATGAACAAATATTAATGTAAACAGTTTATTTTGAGACACCACGAAACAAACGATAGCGTGAAATGCAACGAAAGACGTTTTTATATCGTCATCAGATATATATGGTTATATCGAACAGCCCTATAAGCAGAAGTATGTGTAGCATCTGCAGGAAGGTTATTATCCCTTCAGCTGTTTCGTCAGGGCACTGATGTCTCCGTGTGCACATCTCTCCAAACACAGCAGGATCTAAAGGACGAGTAGTGTCTGATAGTCTGGGATGTTGAATTAGTCGGTACACTCAAATCTTGCCCTCGCCATGTTTCACTGGTATCACTGGTATAACCCTGTGGTATCGATCACAAAGAGGGCGACGAGCCGGCAGGTAGCAAAGTATGAAAGTGAAAGCATGAAATCTCAGAGATTAGTGCCGTGGTGAAGCAAGATGTCAGAGGAAAACAAGACAGAGGCAAAAACACCAGAGACACACGGTGAAAAATACTTTCAAAATAAAACAGGAAGTAAAGCATTTCTCATGAAGGTTTCTAACAGAGTGAAGTGATCTGGAGGCATCTGCAGTCATAACAACATTAAGATGACCTCCTTCACCTGAGGATACTCTGGAGCATCCTTACAAGCATCCTTCAGTTACTGCCACTAATGAGTCATCAGTCATTTTTGCCATCACCCACTGTGGAATGATGGGAGGTCAGCTGAGTGTTTCCTCTTTTTCTTTCCCTTCCTGAGAAGTGCTGTAGTGCTCCTCATCAAGCTCATGCTGGAAACATGAGGCACAGCCTGCAGGTCAGAAACACCTGAACACTCAGTGGGACTTTCTTCTTCTTTCAACTGGAGCTTTTGAGGTCCACACAGTCTGCCCCATCCTGCCCAATCCCAGCGTCCCGCTCTGTCACACCAACCCTCTGTGTTATGAACGGTCTCTCACCTTACAGGCTCCGGGCAGCAGGTGCAGTTTGACGTACGGGTCAGCTAAACCGTTGAAGTCCATCGGCTTCAGACCCTGCAGATAACAGAAGCAAGTGAGCATATCATTATTATTATTTGATGTTTCATTGCATCCAGATTACAATCACGAAGATGGCGAGAGGAACGTCACGGCAGGTACAGCTATCCTCTACTGAACCGTGAGACTAACCCAGGAAAGGTTATAAAAACTATCATAATAATAAAGTTAAGAGAGGAAGTGAAATATGTCACCTGGAACGTATCATTAGAATAAATACAGAATCAGAACAGGAACCCAAAACCAAGAATTCCCACTTTACTATAAATCCAGCCGCTATAACCTGTGATTCCTGACATTTTCTCCACATCTTCTCCGGCTGTTCACATCTCAGGAGTATAAAAACGAAAAGAGGCGACAGGACAGATGATTTTCCACACGGGCAGATGAAACACTTGATTTGAATCTCTTGACCTCATCAGTGGGAGCAGATCATCGTGACAAATTGCTCCTAAATCTCTTTCAACAGCTTTGACATTTGCAGTGCCGGCAGACGAAGCGATTTCTCCTTCTGTGCATATTCCCCTCCACCCCACCCACAGCATTTTTAATGAGACCGAGGCACCACACAGAATCTGACCTTCCACATCTACCTGAAATACAATCCAGTGTCACAAGTGACAGCTATGATACCTCGAGTTTCAATTACATGTACTTTTGTTCATCAGTGTCAGACATCCAGTTTCATTTGAATGGTGTGAGCAGTTAGTTGGTTCAGCCACAGTCGTTCACGTGGACGCATGGCGTTTGTGTCTGACTCTCCTACAGCTTTGAGTTTGGGCTCCAGCAGCTGAAGCTGAAAAACCTGCAGTTCCTCTAATAATAATAATAATAATGGATTGGATTTATATAGCGCTTTTCAAGGCACCCAAAGCGCTTTACAATACCACTATTCATTCACTCTCACATTCACACACTGGTGGTGGCAGCTACAGTTGTAGCCACAGCTGCTCTGGGGCAGACTGACAGAAGCGAGGCTGCCATATCGCGCCATCGGCCCCTCTGGCCAACACCAGTAGGCGGTAGGTGAAGTGTCTTGCCCAAGGACACAACGACCAGGACAGAGAGCCCAGGGATCGAACCGCCGACCTTCCGGTTACAGATGCGCTTCCCAACCCCTGAGCCACGGTCGAACAGTGTTAATGTTCACATGTATAAACCTACAAGAGCGACTCGCTGCACCCGCCAGAGGTCCCGTGTCCACGGCAACATCGGGTCAGAGCTGGATCGTGTTTGAATAATGTGGATTCACTGCCCGCACAAAAAGCTGCTTCTTAATGTTTCTATCAAATATTTAACCTTAGAATTGGTGGATTATTCTGCTGAACGTTTCTGGCAGCGGTTACCAGGCGTGTCTTTTATTTGCTGATGTTAAAGGTGTTAAATAATTCTGAGCTTTCCCTCGTCCTGCAGAAAGAAATGTGTGCACACAGCAGGGAGCGCCGAGTTAATCCACCTGCTCGAATCTGAAACTGCTCCTTCATCTGCTGCAGAAATGAGTCGATGCCAGGAGGGAAATCACCGACATTCAAGTAGGTACTCAAATTAAGAAAACAGCAGAGGAAACAAAGGATACAGCAGGTGCTCAGATTATCTCCCATCCCTCACGAAATGAAGCAATTTCATTCTCACATGTGTTTCTATTAGTGTTGCACTGCAGAGCGAGAGCAGCGCCGACTGCATCAATTCACGGTGATCTAAGAGGGAAGGAGAGGACTTTGCCTCTGTGCTCGAAGCGGCTCGTGTTGATCTCTGCTTCATTAAAATCTGAAGACTTTGCAGCTTCAGGACACAAACCATACATGACAGGAACAGCTTTGAGCTCCAACAACTTTCTGTCACCAGCTGTGGAGCACGAAGTGTGATTCAGTAATGGGACCAGATTCTTTTCATTTGTATTAAGTGTTCAGAATTCGACTGTAGTTCATTATGACCTAAGTTAGCTTCCTCCGTGTACATTAAACAAAGCTGAATCTGTTGTTTTTGTGATGCTTTTACTTTTTCATTTCCTTTTCATTTGTTGGTTGTTACAGGAAGCGATTAAACATCCCCAGTTAGATTTAAGCACTCGGATTCAGGCATCACACGGTGCCCCTGAACCTTCAAACATACGCATGTGGCAGAAGGGAAACTTCCAGCTCGTCTAAGAAATGAAAGAGTTCAGATAAACAAACAGCGGTTATCTTTCTCATGCCAGGGTCATGGCTTTGCCTTCCAGCACGACAACCAGAAACGTGCGTTTGGTCATCACGTTGGTCTTGTGGTGAAGAACAACCTCCAGAAGACCAAAGTGACGGTTACTGATGGGCTTCAGCCCCACTGATGGTGAAAACACCATCAAACCTGGAGGAGCTTCAGAGATGCTCAGGACTGGTGAGGAGACGTGTGTGAGAACCGCTGCAGCTCGTAGCACAAAGGACGACCGATGGCATCGTTCTCCTGGTTTTTGTTCCTGTGCAAAGTGAAATTATGGATGCATCCAAAATAAAACTGGGACGTTTGGAAATTTGTCGGGGAAACAGTTTGTGAGAGGTGCACTCGTGTCCTCATGTGTAACACGGGCAGAGAGCCGAGTAGAAAAAATGCCGTTTTTTGAATTTGCTGAAATCTGTTTCTGGTTCTTTGAAGCTAACTTTGGTGTGACTAATGAAAAGCTTTTTGTGAAATACAAACACTTTTGAGTTGTTTATTTAATGAGAACAAAGAGTTTATTCTCACTGTGAAATATAAAGCCAGCAGCCCGAGGGGACGAAACAAACCTGCTTCAAACAAACGGTCTCTGGACAGATAAACAAGGTAAAGGCAGGAGGTGAAGCGACTGCGCCATAATTCAGATCAAGCTGTCACAGCAGAGTCCAATTTAAGTGTCACAAACAACAAGAGGGAGACAAACGGAGGCTGTAAAGAGACGACGGGCTGCAGTCAGAGCAGGTTCAGCTCCCCACACTCTGGATCTGTGCATGCACACTGAGACAGCGGTGCATGCAGCACACGCCAACATGCAGGGAGGAGAAATCTCTTTAATATATGCTGCGTTTGTGCAGGTTAGCAATGCTGAACAGCCTCAGCAGTGTGCGCACGGCGACAGCAAACAAACACGTCTCCATCATATTTGTGTTTGTAATGATGGGAGACGCCTCTCAGAGGTTCTCTGAGACAGACAAAAATAACCTTTCATTTCTTTCCTCCCTGAAAATAACTCTTTAGATCCACTTTTTTTATAAACACCTAAAACTTCATAGACATTTTTTGTTGATGTCTGAAGGCATCAAACACCGACCCATCACTTCCTGGACTCCACAGCCTACTGTGGTTTGCAAATCCCACTTTATAAAGCTTCATAGAGGGTGGAGTGTTATCCCAGTAACATGCAAGTAAAATACTAGAATTCCACTCAGCACACCTGGAGCTCAGGCTTCTTGAACAGTTAGTACAATAACCTCGCAGCTGCCATATTACGGGTCAAATAATGTCATTATTATAATTTGAAGGCTCCAACAGCACAAACACAGACTGGAGGTCCAGGTCAGATGAAGCTAGCAGACAGCTACAGCCACCTGTGTCAGCTACAGAGGCCACGCCCCTAATAATGCAAACATGGAGCCAGGCTATAAAGTGTTGGAGCCTCTAGTGGACGTTAGAGGAACTGCAGATTTTGGTTCTTTAGCCCTGTAAAGCTGATGCTTGTTGATGTTTCAGTAAAATCAGCACCAAAAAGTTTCTGCTGGGACGTCTGCAGTAACTCCACTTCATCCTCACGGAGCTGCTGTTGGTCCATCTGCATTCTGAAAAAGGTGGTGTAGATTAGCAGCTGTCAGATCTTTAGGAACACCCCGCTCTGGATACATGGATCAAAGGTGGAGCTGTTGGATGGGGTGGTTTGGCCACACTGAGCGCAGTAGTTATCAGGAAGAGAATAAAATAGAGAATAAGAGTTTTAATAAATATTCCTGATTTTTCCCATCTTCTGCCACAAGCTGGACCCAGATAAGTTTGCTCCCTCTCTGTGGGCTCGTGCTGAGGGTGGGATGTCTTTCAGCTTCAGCTCTCTCTTCATGACGTCTCAAGCCGAGAGTCTGAAATCACTGTCTTGGTGTAAGATGTGCGAAACCAGGAGTACCAGATGCTCGTAGCGATTGTGATTGATGGCTCGTTAGACAGAGCTGGATGACTTCTCTCACTCTCAGAAGGACCATAATTTACAAAATGCATTCAATGTTTTATTCAGACTTGTGACCAAGCCCATAAACCCATCAGGAGAGTGTTTACTGAGGTCACAGAGGAAGTCATGTGTCTTCTGCACAACCAGGAATCTTTTTGCATCTGACAGAGTCGCCTCCTGTTTGACATTAGTAAGAATTACAGCTGTCGCAGTCAGACGCAGAGGCGACACCATCTTTTGTAACATCTGTGAACAGTCATGGTGAGCTGTGAGATGATTCTCCGAGCAAGCCTGACGGATGAGAACCCAAAACAAGGTGCGGTGTAACCTGTGCCAGGTACAGGCAGGCCGTCACACGTCTACCATAAGGAGGAGTGATCTTTGGTGAAGAGCCAGATTCTCCATAAATACACAACAATATGCATCCTTTCCTGACCTGTCCTCCCGGGCTTTAAGCAGGACTGTCTGTGGCGCTCAAATAACTCAGAGGAACGACTCAAAAACAGGAAATGGTGTGATGTGATGGCTTTAAAGCCAGGAATGAATCCCACGTGGTGTGAAGGAGAAAAACCTTCAAACATTTTGCAGCTGAAGGGATTTTAAAAAGAAGAGAGGTCAAAGATTTCAGCGAGCCGATGTCAGACACGGCTGGACAATTATGCAAAACGCCTACGAGGAGGTATTTTGGTTAAAGTGGGCGACGCTTGTACCTGGTGCCAGCGGAGTAGTACGTTTAGTCTGTCAGTCTGATGTTTGTAGTGATGTGTATCGCTGCTGATATTCAAAGAAAATGTCAGATAACCTGAGGAACAGTTTTAAAAGGGACGAATTACACGTTGTTTTTCATAATGACACTTTGAGGTAAAACCTCAGTGAAACCAAATGCATCCTGATGTAAAACAGCAGAAAACGTCATATGTTTCATCTCACTTTAGGCTGTTTGCTGGATATAGCACACGGCACGCCCATCAGCATCACTTTGGTGACTCCAGCTCGACGCCTGCTCTTCACACCAAACACGGGTCTCCAGCCCGAGGCTCGGCCGCCTCTTATCTCACCTCCTCCTGACTCCTGACACCTGCTCTGGGACTGTTACTGGGTCAACGACGAGCTGAGGATGCACGCATCGTTTTCCTGCAGCTTCCTCAGATCCATAATCAGAGATTACTCTCGCTCCTCAGCAGCAGCACCCAGACGAATAAAAGTGTGTGAGTGAAATTTACTGACCAAATAACAATCTGTGCAGCAGACCCACGGGTCCAAGTAGCTCAATAAATCTGAATTTGCACAGAAATACTATTAGAGCTCATATTTATCTTTGACAGCACAGCCTTCATTATTCTTCACTCTGTGGAGGGAATCTAATTCGTAGCAGTTCATGAAACTAGAGCAGATTTAATTTATGATGAGTGGTGAAAATCCACAGCTGAGAGCAGACTTTAATTATTATATAAACATAGTTCCCTGTGTTTAATCTGCTTTATGCAACTTTCTCATATATCATGATTATTATTATTATTACTCTTATTGGATTATAACTTGTCTTAAAAAAGCTAAACAAAGTGATTTTCACGTGAAGGGCTCAGGGCGGATTTTTCTTTAAAATCCTGGGATCCTCCTTAAACGTGTCTTTCATTCCTGATATGAAGGTTTATGAAATATACTGAAGTTACTGCACAGCGTAAATCAGCTGATTGGTTTTACTCCATATGGGCTGTATGCTTCCTGTTGCATGAAAAAGAAGAAGAGCGTGTCGGTGTCTGCAGAGCGTCCTCACCTTGGCCCGCAGCACGGTGCAGTGCAGCTTGTTGGAGCTCTGCTCGTACCTCAGCTCGAACTCCAGCGTTCCCAGAGCAGCTGGGGAATCATCGCAGGCAGAGGGAGGAAACAGACAACATCCATGATTCATGAAAGAAAACATGATTACAAGCCTCGCGTCAACAAGCGCAAGAGATCAAAACTGTTAGATTTAATTGAAAGCATGCAAGAGAACAGAGAAACATGTCAGGCATGTCATGCAATCAGAAGATGGGAATCCAATTCGGAGGAGAGCGCACGTGACTCACAGTCTTCCTACAAAGAAGAGCAAACATTCACAGCCGTGCACGTGTAACAGGGCACACACGCTCGCTCAGATAACACGTATGATTCACACTAACACATCACTGCTTACATAACTAACCGCACTCATACGCTAACTCTGAGCTGCTGTGTGTAGCGGACGAACGGCTACGTTACTCTGCTGCACGGTGAACGAGAGCGGCCTCTGCCACGTCCTGGTTTTTCTTCTTCACTGAGTGAACCTCGCGGCTCAGGGCCGCTGTGACTGAACATTTTAATGTTCAAATGACAGAAAGACATGAAAATGACTGCAGAGGCCACAGGACGAGATGGCAGTCACAGTAACACAAAGAAAAAGAAAATCAAACACAAAGGCGTGATTTTGGCATTAAGTTCATTTCTATGGAGCCCCTCTGATGACATGGTCGAAAAAAGAAATAAATTGTGGCCACGAAATACTATTTCGAGGACACGAAATAGGTCTAACGTGGCAACGAAACAGATAACCTGCGCACATCATATTGATACAATTCCTGGACAGCTGCGTAGAGACATAAGCATGAGAGTAGGCTAAACCTATGCACCGTGGACAGAGACAGTATGATGAAGTTTTATTTTAGGCTGGGGATGAGCTACAAATGCATTTTGAAAAGCCTGCAATGCAAGGAACCATTATTACGGAGAGACATTTAAACAGGATACTGCGAGCCCAGTTGCTTTACAGATGAACGTAGGACCTGGATTTTATTGTCAACCAACTGCAAGGGCCTGGGAAGGATCACGGTTATCGGTCAAGTGTTTCGTGCCCACAAATTAGCATTTCATGCTCACGAAATAGTATTTCATGGCCACAATTTATTTATTTTTGGACCATGTCGTCAGAGGGGCTCCGTACATTTCAGTCTTCTGATGAAAATGTTTTAGTTTTACACAGTTTCAATTCAGGTAATCAGGTAAACTCCCAACACACAGTGATCAGGACCGAGTCAGGCCACGGGCAGGTTATACAGGACTTTGTGGGTTGTTGTGATGAGTCCTTCGTTTCATTAAAGGCGTCAAAATCAAAAGACGTGATTATTGATTTTGGGAAGTCTTATAGCTCATCAGCCGCTGTCATTAAAGATACTGAGATTGTGCAGAGTGTGAGCCTGCGATTCGCTGTTTGGTAACATGACTCTGAAGAACAAGAACCAGTTGGGAGTTTTGCTATAAACTGCCAGAAAACTGTCAGGGCCTGTGGCCATGTATAAGTTAACAACGCGTGCTGAGGAAGGCTCGTGTTCAGTTTGACTCGCTCGTTGCCTTCGAGTTTCACCTGCGAGGTCGACCAAAAAGACTCCAGGTTTCTTTTATCCCGACTGCGACTCGTCTCCTTAATGGCAAATAATCCAAATAACTGTCGTGTGGCTTTTTATAATAATATGGATTGGATTTAACAGCACTTTCAAGGCACCCAAGCGCTTTACAATTCCACTATTCATTCACACACTGGTGGAGGCAGCTACAGGTGTAGCCACAGCTGCCCTGGGCAGACGACAGAGGCGAGCTGCCATATCGCGCCATCGGCCCCTTTGGCCAACACCAGTAGGCAGTAGGTGAAGTGTCTTGCCCAAGGACACAACGACCCGGATCAAACCGGCAACCTCAATCGCTTCCCACCCCTGACCACAGTCGCCCCGTCATTCATCATCACCATACTTTTATTTATTCTTATGGCCTTTGCTGCTAAACTAATTCCCTGGGGACATAAGACAATAAAATAAATGAGTTGAATTGAAATCATCCATTCTTTTCCGCTCGTATCCTTTTGCAGGGCGTGGGAGCTGGAGCCTATCCCAGCTGTCTAGAGGATACACCCGGAAGGTCGCACACACAGACAACCATTCACACTCACATTCACACCTATGGCCACTAACTGCATGTGTTTGCACTGTGGGAGGACGCCGGAGTACCGGACAGAACCCACACAAACATGCAAACTCCGCACAGAAAGACCCCGGCCTGAACTCAGGACCTTGCTGTGAGGCCACTGTGCTGCCCAGAATGAGAATCTCAGATATTTATTGTAGATAGTACTCATACGCAGTCAACATAGCGAACACTTCTAGAAGCAAATATTCAACAAAAAAAGATTTAAAAAATGAGAAATAGGGGCGCTAGTGAGGCATGTGCGAGTGTAGACGTCCCTCGTCAAAATGACTTAAGAAAATCTTTAATGCTCTCAAAAGCACGTCAAACCCATCTTTTCGCCAAATTCATAACCTGCTGATTACTGTGGATATATTTCTGGGAGCCTTTCAACAATGTGAAGCCCAACTTCAGAAGAGCGATCGATGTAGCCTGGAAGCCTCTTCGGACTCAGCTGGTGGGGACCCCACGCCTGCCTGGAAAAGGATGAATGTGAGCCGTCGAATAAACTGCTACTAACTGCTATGACTAGCTTGTGTTCAGAGATAAATACAATCAAGCCTAAATTGTGCACCACACTGGGACACTCACATGTTAGAGATTCTACCACCATAAGAGGCGAGGTATCATCCTTGAACCAGAGCATCCAGGCCCTCATTCGGACATAAAAAGCGACGTGGCCAAGCACGATAACACTTTGACTGAACTGCAGGCCTGTGCCTCAAACCACTCTGACACCATCGCCATTCTCCAGGCCACTGTGGAGCGTTTGTCTACAGAGTTAAGAAGTAGATGAGAAATGTGAAGATCTGAGGCACAATCCAGGAGGAATAATGTAAGAATCACGAGAATACCAGACGGCATAGAAGGACCCAGAATGAGTTTGTTCCACAACTTTGGCGGGGCGCTATCTCTCGAGGAGAAGCCGCTAATCGATCGACCACATAGAGAAAAAATTAACATTTAAAAAATAGGAAAACACGAGGAAACTAACTTGAATCTGAGCTTAAGTAAATCCCTCAGAGGCTGGATTATGTCTTCAGTACAAAGATGATGTGGCTAACTTATCCGGTTGTTCAGTGATGACGTGACGAATCCTACTTCCGGCCTAAAGTAGTCTGCGTTTAATATGCTTTTGTGTTTTTAACATGTTTAATGTTTGTATTTTCTTCTATTTGATCTCAAAAAGCTCCTAAAACAGTCAGTGATCACTGTTGACCTCCCTCGGCTTTTATTACCGCTAATCAATTATTTAAGCTCAGTTTTTAAAACCTTAGGATGTAACTACAGCCCAGCCCATGCAGCAGTATATGATGACTAACCTCGTATTGTGGATGGATATCTCAGTTGTTCTCCTGGCTGAAGTTTGGTCCTTTTACAGCATCCTGCCATGCGATTACATTTGTTCCTGACCACCGAGAACACTCACGTTAACTTTTATCGAGTGAAAAAAGTTAGCTTGTTATATTATGCTAACATAGCTGTGTCGCTAGCGATCACGTAGCACATCATTAATACCAGCTAGCCCAACTTCAGAACCCTACAAACGTCACTGCTGTTTAGTTTTCTGTCTTCATTTATGTTGACAGAGGTTAATATCTGTTATTAACCTCTGTCTCTCTTCCACAGCATGTCTTTATCCTGTCTTCCTTCTCTCACCCCAACCGGTCGCAGCAGATGGCCCGCCCCTCCCTGAGCCTGGTTCTGCCGGAGGTTTCTTCCTGTTAAAAGGGAGTTTTCCTTCCACTGTTGCCAAAGTGCTGTCATAGGGGGTCATATATTGTTGGGTTTTCTCTGTACTATGAAGCACCTTGAGCGACTTATGTGTGATTTGGCGCTAATAAATAAATTGAATTGAATTGAATGAATGTTGGAAGTGTAGCAGAGTGTACGTTTAATTGTTTCCAAAACCCCGCAGTCAGGACATGCTATATTGTATTTAGATAGAAGCTAGCGAGCTAACTTCCTGCTAACTTCTAACTCCGTTAAATGTCATAAATTCAGTTTCATGGATGCCTGGATGTTGAACTCAGTTGTTACACCTGGTAGAGCAGAACGCTGATCATTTATTAAAGATGAAAGACTTTAGACAGTTTTTCAACTCTCAGTAATGCCATAGTGATCGTTGATATATGACCTGCAGCGGAGTTTAGGCCCAGACACGGCTAGTGACGTCAGACTGAACGACCGGATTAGCTCAGCTAACTGCACACAGTTGTACAGAAAAAGGCGGGAAAACCAACTGCCATCCAGCGTGAGACACAGACATGGAAGCCTGTTGATTTAGTCTCAGCGTCTGTCCTGTATAAGAGTAAAACTCAGCATCTCAACACTATGAGACACATTACAGAACAGCTAATGATGACTTTATATCTCATAAGGTCCTGTTTGTATCTGATAGCTCACTCTGCATCCCAAAGACATGATCGCTGTCACATCCAGGTAGCTGCATCTCGTGGCCCCGACTCTGTATCGTGTAAGATAACTAACTTCCCACAAAGGCAGCCTAGTAATGATGCTGTATTTAAGTCTGTGTGTCTTTAGTATCTCGAGGCAGAAGCAGACTTCAGTTCTGTATTTCGAGTCTTTTGGCCTTTTTCTGTAAGTAAACATCAGACGTCGTCCTCAGAAACTTAAATCAGTGCTTCTGACTGTTGGATGCACTTTTCTGAGTCCATCCTATAGTCGTCCTCTCTCTGCTTAATCCACTGCAGTCCTGAACACTGAGTAAAAATAAAAAAGACTCCTGCTTCCACCCACCTACATTGACTACAGCAGCCCGAGGCAGCGACGGCTGGAACATGTCAGCAAAACCTCAAAACGCCTGTGACCGTCCTGCGCAGGAATCATTGCTCTGCAGCAGCGAAGCCCGAGCTGCAGGATCACGCGTGCACAAAGGAGCGCCCTGTGAAGGCGTTCTTTGTTAGCCAGTTCCTTTTATGTTTGATCAAGCCTGGAGTTTCTGTTCGAGGAGACGGCCTGTCAAACTTTGGCGCTCTGCTCCTCCTCAGGCTTCCCCGCTCTGATGAATCTGACGCCTCGTTATAAAAGCACAAAAAAATCATCAAGTGGTGACTGCAAAACAAATATATGTTAATGAGGGGATAAAAATGGTAAAAACCTCTAATTAGTCTTTGCTTTCTGAATCACAGCGGAGCTTGAAAACATGTCAGCAGCTCTGAGAGCATTCAGCCTGACTCATTTTCACAATTATTCTCGTGTTGTAACTGAAGCGGCGATGAAGGAGAGGATGAAGGAGAGGATCGGCGCACTCGCGCTCCTTCTGCTCCTCCAGATGAGCCGGTGCCGTCACATTTCAGCCTCTCTGAAGTTGACGTGTTCGGCCGCGTCATTACCTGCCTCCCCAAAAACGCTCAGCATCTGCAGTCTGGCCGAGCTTCAGCACGAGAGGCGTACGCGTCAATGTGTTGGTTACGTAGTGTGAGTTGCAACACATGAATATGCATCCACGGTGCAGCGGCGGAGGAACGGCTGTTAGGGTTGCTGGGTTAAATCCATGAAACGATCAGACTGGAGCTGCTGCAGCGTTTTAGGTCCTCAGTTACTCCGAGCGACCTTCGTGGTGCTTCTGCAGACTCTGTGACCTTTCATCCCAAACCCACATCGACATCTCCATAAAAGGTGATTACGGCACGTTAGCCAAAGGAGACTTGAGCACTGTTGTCTGAAGGAAATTCACAATGAAAATATTGTTTTCGTTCCAGCCTAAGCCGGCTTTCAGCTCCAGTAAACAACATGATTCACTAAAAAGACGAGAATAATCAGCCCCAGATTTGTTCTCAGAGAGAGAATTAAGAGATTTAAGAGACGTGGAAAATATTTCAGTCCATCTGACAGAACCAAAACATGCTGTGATGTCACGCAGAGGTTTCTCAGCCCTGCTTTATCTGCACTACTGTGCATCCACGCAGGGGTGTTGATCTGGTCAGGTATGTAGCAGAGGGGTTGTTCGTGAGTTTCAGCTGCTTTGGTGTTCATTAAAATAACAACAGGGGCAACAATGAGTGGGATATCCTGACAGGGAGCAGCGCAAAGGCAAAACATACAAAAAGAGCTTTGGATGTCCTCCAGGAAGCCTGGAGATACATCTGGAGATCCTCACCGAGCCGACAGAGCCTGACTGGAGGATGAAGCTGCTCACAACACGCATTCACTTTCAAACTCATTGCAGGCTTTTGTTCTCTATAGTGTTGTGTTTGCATGTTTGAATACAATTTGAAGTCATTTTCCTGCAAATATAAATGAATGAAGGTAACTGTAGACTGACAGCTGTGATGGTCCTCTGTGCTGTGTTACAGGCCTAACGGTGGATACCGAGAAGCAAAAACAAATCCAAACCTCAAAGCATCACTGGGACCGTGACAGTGGCGAGTCACGATATTTTGAGCCTCATGAAATGTATGAAAACAGACTTGAGACGGAGCGCCGTGCAGGAAGCAGCCTCAGGGTGACGTTAAACAGATGTGTACAGATGCAGGGTGACACACGCACACAGACACATGCCGACAGCGAGGCTCACTGCAGTCGTCGCTGTCGGAGCTGTTGATCTCCACCGACGTGTCCACGCTGCTGGTCAGGGATAGGGACCGCCCCCGCCGGGCCTGCCTGGGCCAACAGAGGAGACAGGAGTGAGACCCGCCCATTCCCGAGGCCACCGAGCCGGGGCTGAGGGACGGCGGCGGGGACACGGCGGGGTTGGGGGAGACGGGGGTGGGGAGGTGGGGGACAGGCGGGGGAAGTAGGCGGAGATCTGGCGGATGGGTCTGATGGGGCCGGGGCAAACGTCTATGGCCATGTGTTCCTGGATGGAGATGCTGAGCTTCTTTCCTCTCCGAACCGTCATAGAGTCTGAAGACAAACAAACAAACAAACAAACCTGTTTACTCACTGAGAGCTTTGATCTCAGCACATTAACAGCATTTAAATTCAGATTGTTTCGTTTATTGTGGTTTTTTTAGTTTAAACTAGATTGGTTCAAATACAGATGAATTAGATTTAGATTAATAATAATTAACTTTGATTTATTGGTTTAACTTTATGTGGGTTTAATTGAGTTTACTTTGGTTACAGTTATATTATTAAGTTGGTTTAGTTGAGTTTAAATTTGGGTTAGTTTGGATTAGTAGTCTGGTTTATTGTCCCTGCTTTGGTTCGTTAACCCAGTTAGTTACAGACCCAGAATAAGTGTTTAACCCAACAGTTTCCTAAACCTGAGCGAGCATTATGAACACTGACTGACACACAAACATCTGATCTGACTTTCTTTACGTGTCCTTAAGGAGACATTCATGAAGCCGGGTCTGGATATCCGTTTGGACTCATTTGTTTGAAGTGACTCACAGAAAAACTGAATAAAAGCTGAATGGATCTGTTGTGATGAACACCTGAGGAACACTTGAGTGCGTTTGATGTCAGATTTCAAAGGAAATAGCACGAGGCGTTTGACAAATTAGTCACGGGAAAGGTGTTGCTGCTGTCACAGGACTTAATTGAGCCACCAGGAGATGAAAAGAATTTGAAGGGAGCCTCAGATTTTAGGCGGTTCATGACTAATTATCCCAGATTTTTCTTCCTGGCAATGAAAGGAGAAATTGTCGTCATATTTTGAGGAGAATCTCTGACAGTCACGGCCCTGAAGACACGATCATTTTAAGGGTTCTTTGTAGTGAATTGTACCTGCGATCTATCAGAGATACCTCATCACACGGCGCTGCTTTCTAAGAACTGAATGTGACGAGCTTCAGGTTACATCAGGTAAAATAATGGCAGTGAGCAGTGGAGCCTGTCCCAGCACTCATAGCTGTGAGCGGCGGCGCACACTGGACAGGTTACCCATGTGCCGCAGGGTGAACACAGAGACAGACGGCCAGTCACACCCTGTTAGCTGCATTTCATTACAAAATAAAATCCACGAGGAAAAAACACTTTGACTCTTCCTTCTGTTTGGTCTTATTATCCTCGCCCAGCTTTTCCTCCTTTCTGAATAACTGCACTGTAATTATACACTTTGTTTCCCCAACCTATGCTATTTAAAACATCCTCAGCTGTCTCTGGATGACTCGAGTAAGGATGTCTCAAACTGCTGCAGCAGTTTGTTCAATAATCCTCTGACCTGAAATTAAATGCAGTGTTTCATTTGACAGAAACTCGGTTTTATTTTGGCACTAACAGCACATCTCACACAGACGGAGGCAGTTTTATTGACAGCCGGCTGTAACACTGATAAATATGTTAAGCCAACTGCAGGCGACTACTGTTGTGGTCCAAAGACAGGAATAGACTCGAGCTGCAGGAGAAATATCAGCTAAACTCTGCGAAGAAGCCTCATCGCCAGCCGTCTTTATCCAGATGTTCAATCCTGTTGTCACTTTTACAGCTGCTGATCTCTATGAACATGCCGGGTCAGAGATGAAGATCTGGACCAGCTGACTAACAGCAGGCAAAGAAAACTAGCATTGGATTAACGGGGAAGAGTACAGTCCAAGATCCAAGACCCAACCAGGCAACCCACATCATCACTGAAAGATCAGAGTCATAGTCCACTTTATTTATGCAGCACCAAACTACAACAACGGTCACCCCCAAGGTGCTTTATATTAGACGTCAGTACAATAATATAGATGAAACCCAACAATTATATGACCCCGAGCACTTTGGCGACAGTGAGAAGGAAAAACTTTGTTTTAACAGGAAGAGAGACGGGTGCAGTGAAAATCAGCAGGGCTGAGCGGACGTAGACCGGGATACAAGTCAGGACACATCAAACATGTGAGCAGAATATCCCAAATTAAACACAGCAAACAAACCAAAGTCAAGACCAGAGTGAGTTAAATATCAAGTTCAAACCAGGCTGGACTTTAAGTGTTGCCGGACGAGTCTGATCAAAAGAAGACACGAAAACCTGTCGATGTCACTGAAAGCAGAGATACTCCTCAGAGTGACATGAGTGAGCTGACAGAGTGACAGAAAGTCGTGGAAGTCTTTCCACGGGTGTCTGTCTCCACAGGAATGACGAGGCCAAGTCTCAGCCCGGTGCTGCCAATCAAACGCACCCGATTGGCTGATCATCACCAGTGTGAGCACATCTGTAGAGCTGAGGTTTCTGATGTTTGCAGGTCTGGAGCGTTCAGGTGTGTTAACAGCGACACAGTCGTCCCAGGAGTGGACGTCCCAGCAAATTCAGCCTGAGTAAAAACCCAGGAGCTCCATCTCAGACTCCACAGGCCCCAGTCAAAGGTTAAAGGTTAAACGTAGCAGCACAGTTAGAAACAGACTGAGCTGAAAGTCTGTCCATGAAGCACAAAACCAAACTCATAAGACCTCAGAGCAGCTGTGAGCGCGGCGCTGGAGGGATGATGGTTTGGGTACCTCGGGGTCACTGAGTGGACCGTGAGCTCCTTCATCAACAGCAGAGTGTTGGACCTCAGCGACACAAACAGAAACACCTGTGTGGACGGACACCTGCTGCGTTCATCAGCCCGGCTGTGCTCGAGGGAGTTAAAGATGCAGAAAAGGATCAGCGCAGCTGTTTAAGCTCAGAGCTAACAGTCAGGAGGCGAGCGTGTTCGATCCCCGTGTTAAAGGAAACCCTTTTCTTCTGTTTGACACATGGTAGTCCTGACAGCAGCTCCACGCCGCTGCAGCAGCTGACAGCAGGTGTTTAACGAGGAGTGTGTGTGTCTGACACATGAAAAAGAGGGAAAGAGGGAGGGTTCATAGAAAGCACAAAGAAAAGGTGTCACAGCAGGACGCCGACACACATGGGCCGATGAAAACAGGAAGTTTAACGACCACAGTCCTGTAAGGAGGTGTGGACATAACGGGGGGGAAATCACACGACCAGAACGACCCGAGAGTGAAAAGTTAGCTCGCTAACAACACACACACACAGCCTGCAGGTTGCATGAACAGCAGGGGGAAGTCAAACAGCTTCTTGGGCCTCGAGCCAGAATATTTAATCAGCGAGCCCCTGAGGGGAGACCTCCACCTGCTGCAACAGCGAGACAGGTGAGACGCCTGAACGCAGCTCAGACTGCAGAGCGAGGCCTCAGCAGCGTTAGCAATGAGAACAAACCGCAGTCAGAACGGCTCACCTCAGCTCCAATGTGTTTGCTTTAGAGCAGCTTTGCTCTCAGATTAAACAGATCTTTGAGTCAGGCTCACGTTTGTGCAACTTTCATTTAGTTTGTGTGAAGGAAGCTCGAGGAGAAATACTGAGCTACAGGTGAGCTAAACGAGTCCAAGAAAACAGTTCAGAGATCTGCTGTAAATAAGCAAAAGCTCTGCCATCACGTTTACATCTCTGTACACGCCAGAAACCACGTCAGATTGTGCATCAGGCTGGAAACGTGTTTATTTCTGCTGCAACGTTTAACATAGGAGTCTGCTGGAGCCCCTAGTGGACGTCGGATGAACTGCAGGCGTCGGCTTCATTTCAAACATTGTTTTATCTGCAGGCTGAATAAAAACCACATAGATAAATGCAAAGTCCCTCTGAATTCAACATGCACTGTTATTATTTTTAGAAATTGACGCTGATGACGTCAGCATCCTGTTCTATTTAAAATATCTTTATTTACTGTGCAGATTAAAACGCCTGATTACATTTCATAATAAAACCTTCTAGACTTTATGTTCCAAAGCCTGAACACAAAGTCAGTTAGTCATCTTGCTCCTGAGTGAGAGAGCTGAATCCTCACGCTTTGACCTTTCAGAGTAATTTTCGTGGTCAAATGTGGCGCCAACAGCCCTCCAGACCCGAGGAGTGCAGATCGCCGCCGCAGGCTCGAGTGGACGCTGAGTGACCGCACAGGTCGAGGTAAACCGTGTCAGAGGTATTACACGATGATTCACTTTAACATTTACCTGTGAATATGATACAAAAACACATTTTATGGGACTTTCAGTGGTTTCTGCTGCAGCACACGTATGACTCATGCCTTGAAGTGCTGATTATAAGAAATGCTTAAGATTGCTTATTCAAGGTAAAGTCTTTTAACTAAAGGCCATGATGAAGCAGAAAAGCTTTCTCAGAGTTTCTTCTATGTGGAGCATAAAGCAGCGAGTGCTGCCTCTGCTCGAACACTCTGGGGACGCTAAACAACACCAATAAATATGCAACTCCAAACCAGCTCCACCCTCAGGAGAGCCGACTCGATTTAACCAGGAAAAATGCACAACAGGCAAAATAAAAGTACGCAAGTCACTGCTTCGACCGCCAGTGTCATCCTCCATGTTTTTCTGCTTTATTTACTCCACAAAGACTAAAATTCAAAATCTTACATTTGTATTTCCTTCTATTACTGGCTTATATAGAAGGCCACGCATTAAATTATTAAAATAGATTAATTAATAAATCAATATGCCATGAAATGCATTATTATTGCTTTTGGTTGTATTACACTATATCCCCTCTATTTATGTACTCTGTGTGTAATCCATTACTTTGTTTATTAGATATCCATCTCACGGGAACCAGCAGCCCTCTCTCTCTGTCAGCCACCTCATTCATTTCCTGTTTTACTTTGATAGCTGGTCGTCTCTGTTTTTGAGTTTCACTTCCTCCTCGTTGTCTTGATTGTGTTCAGC